CAAAGTTTTGTCACAAATTGTGATTTTGTAGTTTTACCAAAATTTTAAACACATAGGTTTAGATAATATCTTTTCATTAGTAAAATTAAAAAAAATGAACTTTTTGCTTCTTTTAAGCAGCAAGGTTTATGCCTTTGATGCAATCATTTAGCTGCAAATTCTATTTTAGTTGAAAAAATGCTATAAAAATGGCTTTACATAATGAACTGATACTTTCTCAACAGATTTTTCCCAGCAGTGTGATTATTTTTCCTGTAAAATTCAAGGTTTCATCTTATAGATTATGTAATAAAATTCTACTGTTTGTGATCAAAATTTCACTGTTTGGGGTTGTTGAAATTAGTGGGGGTTATTAAAATAATGATACTTAAAGAAGTGATTTTTTGGAAGGAAATTGGGGTATGATACTTAAACAAGTGATTTTTATGTCATTATCCTAGATTTAGTACAAGGTCATCACCTGACATGACCTGGTCATCCTATCAACACAGATGTTGGTTCTGATAATTTTAGCAACATAATTAGTCCCTGGATCATTAGTATTCTATATTTAAAGCTACAATAAAATTAAATCACTTAGTCTAGTGATTAATTTGTACTACTTAAATAGGTGATTATTAAAGAAAGACAACTCTTACTTCCAACCTTTATGGACATAAGGGTGCAATCAACAGTTTTTTTCTATGACGTCATATTTTAAGGGACCATGCCTAAGTGACCCTTAGTGGTGGAATGGTTAATAAAGATACTTGTATAAAACTAGATATTACTGGAATCAGAATTTTCTCTAGTTTATATTGAAATAATAATATACTGTACTTTTAATATAGTAAAAAAGTTCTATCCAGAGAAAATGGGGAAAAAGTTGCCTAATCTGAACATAAAAAACCTGAAATCAGGTCATGTGCATACCCATGTAAACATGATACAGGCACATTTCCCATAATCAAAACTGTATGAAATTCATAGGTTTTTACCTGGCCTTTAATAAAAATCTTGTTTCAGGGTACGGTTTCCTGCTTCGAAAAGAGCTACAGTGGCTGCAAATAAGTTTTCAATTTTCACTGCCAAAAAAACAGGATGTTTACAGTGTTGTCTCCCCTCAAAACATGAATATTTAATCTAATTTTTAAAATTATTTTAATCATTCAACCTGTTTAATTTGAAAGCTAATTAACTAATTTTTACAATCAAATACAAAAAACATGATACTTTTTCACCAATTATATGAATAAAAAGGGATTTCCCTCCATGGTTATTTTTAGTCGGGGAATAACCCCTAGTTTTTTATACGAAACTGTTTATAGCATCCTAATGTTACTTGAATCAGTGATTTAGAAAATCACTCATTTAAGTAAGTCCCCTGACTGATGGGTCTTCAATGCAGCGAGAAACTCCCGCACCCGGAGGCGTCCTTCAGCTGGCCCCTAAACAAATATGTATACTAGTTCAGTGATAATGGACGTCATACTAAACTCCAAATTATACACAAGAAACTAAAATTAAAATGATACAAGACTAACAAAGGCCAGAGGCAAAAAGCAAAAATAATCATTGATGAAAAATTTAAGCAAAAAAATTAGATAGGATGATAAGATACAAAAGAGCAGAAAACAGCCCAAGGCAACCAATGGGTTTTCAACATGGCAAGAAAATCTCTCACCCAGAGGTGGGATCCAGCCTTGGGCTGTTTTCTGCCCTCCTGGTCCGGTTGTTGTCTCTTTGACACATTCCCAATTTCCATTCTCAATTTTATCATATAATAAATAAATTTGGTGTATTTACTGTCTTCTGATTGGTTAAAAGCATTACAAATAAATAATAGCCATTGATTAAATGTGAAAATAGCCTGCAAATGTGAATAAAGAATATTGAAAATAATTTTGGTTAACTTGAAAGAAGTAAGAAAATACATATATATCAGGATGGTTTTCTTTTGCATGGTATCATCTGAAAGCTTATTAAGGGTCAATATCCAGGGTCAACATACACTTTGACCTACAAAGCTTTATGGATGCATGTGGAGTGTGACAATTGCACATGCTTTAAATTGCTATTTTAATGAAAAATTTTAAATATATGCAGAATTTAACATGAAAATAAAGATATGGTAAATGGAGCACTTCTATATCTAAGCAACGATAACAATTAACCTATTTACATACTCTGGTGTAAGCTGTGTTTTAAACTTTGTATCAGTAAATTTCCTCCCATTCTAATAAAGACATTTTATAGTTATACAATTTATATGAATTTATGTTATATACAAAAGATAACTAATGAACCATGTACTTTGATATTATATAATCTTAAAAAGTGTCTTTAAAACAAAGTCACACTCTTTTGAACATTTATTACTTAAAATTTCTGTTCAAATTTATTTCACATCCCACTCATTTATGTTTTCTTCTCTATGGCATCAGAACTTATTGAAAAGACATTGAATTTAGGTTTCTTCTAATGACAATTTATAGAGGGGTACTCCTGACATATTTGAGTGCCTCAACTTATTAAGTTTATGCATTGTTACATGTATGTTTGTTATAAATATATTTTGGTTGTAAATGTTGCCCTATTGAGACCGTGAGTATATGACTCAGACTTCTTTTAAACTGAGTTTTACTGTGCATATTGCTGTGTGTTTGTTTTTTTTTACATTGGCTAGAGGTAAAGGGAGGGGGGGGGGGGGGGGGGTTGAGATCTTGAGATTTTCTAGCTGCATTGAAGACCCATTGGTGGCCTTTGGCCAATATCTGCTATTTGGTCGGGTTGTCTCTTTGACATATTCCCCATTTCCATTCTCAATTTTATATATAAAAAAACTTTTTTTGCTCTTTTTAAAAAAACACCATTAACCTGGAATTAAGAATTTGAAGTTTTAGAATTTACGTATTCCATACCTAGCTATAAAGCTAGCATATATTATATATATATATATGTAGAATTAATTTACATCTTATCATGTAAAATAATCCATGATATCAAAGATATTTGGTTGTTTAATTAAATAAAAAATATCTTTTTAGAATTCATTTATTATTGTTTTTAAACAATTTTATAATGTAACACTTAAATGGTCACATTTCTGACAGTTAGGACATGTTTTTGGAGCATATCTTCCAAACAGTAATAAGATATCAACATGATAAACAAGAAACTTGAAAGCACATAAGATTTTATCAGGATGGTTCTGTTGACCTAAAAAATATTCCTGGATCATCAAAAATCTTCATTTCACGACATTTGATTGACACCCGCCCTAATATCTTATTGTCATATATTTCTTTATATCTTTGTTGAAATTCATTTTTATACGATCGCAAATTTTGCAGTCGTATATTGGTATGACGTTTGCGTCGTCTTAAGACACATTGGTTTTCGCACAATAACTTTAGTTTAAGGGAATGGATCTCTATGAAATTTTACCATAATGTTCAATACCACAAAAGGAAGGTTGGGATTGATTTTGGGGGTTATGCTCCCCCAGTACCAACAGTTAAGGAATTAGGGGCCAAAAATAAGCATTTTTGTAACTTCCAGACAAAAATGTGTGTGTTAGTGTATCTCTCTGACATTGTACCACAAGGTTCCATATCACAAAAGGAATGATAGGATTGTTTTTTGGAGTAATTGCCTCAAAATTTTAGGAATTAGGGGCCAAAAAACAAGCATTTTTCTAGTTTCCAGACAATATCATGAATAACTTGTGTTCAAGTGTATGGATCTCTCTGAAATTGTACTGCAAGGTACCATACCACCAAGGGAAGGCTTGGATTGATTTTGGGGGTAATAGCCTCAAAATTTTATGAAATAGGGGCAAAAAAGGGGCAAAAAACAAGCATTTTTCTAGTTTCAGGACAATAACTTGTGTGTAAGCATGGTAAGTGTATGGATCTTCATGAAATTGTAATACAAGCAGAGCTCCAGATAAGCTGCATATTTTCGTGATCATGCAATAAAAACAATTGAAAACCCAATGCAACTGATGATTAGAGGATACAAAAACCCAATTCATGCAAAGGAAAACCTAATTACATGTCAAAACTATGCGTTCTCAACCCTTCTAGTCATTTTTATGTGCGTTATTAACCCTTGTCTATCCATTATCGTCGAGTAAATCTATTTTTGTAGTATTTATAATTTAAATTGGAAATCTGCTTGTGTTCCAAAAATAGAGCGTTCGTGTCAAATAGTTGATCTGGGTGCCTGTTGGAATTGTCCGTTGCTCAAAGATGTAAACCGGTTTCGATCTTCTCTGCTTTTATCCAAGTAGCGTAAGTCAGGTAATCAATTATTTTCGTATTGCACGAGATTTAGGGAGCTACTGTTTGATTTTTATAAGGGGGGGGGGAGTCTAGGATGAATTTGAAAAAAATAGGCAGGACAGGAGTTTTCAGGCCTCTACAATAACTTTTTTTTCAACTTGTCCAGTAGGACAAGTACATACCAAAACTTACTTGTCCGAATGAAATTGTAACTTGTCCAAAACAAATCTTAATAATAACCTTTTTTGCATTTTAAGTTGATTGAATTAAAACAATAGAACAGAATTTGATTTTAACATATCTTTTGCAATACTTTACAAAAATATGAGTCGAGAACAACTGAATCTAGTCATGTCACAGGACTTAGGTTTTAGTTTTCATCAATGCCAAAGTCTCATCAGACTCTGCACATGAGGCACCGTCTGATAGGATTGCCAATGTACACTCATTGGATTTGTATCCTGGTTTTTTAATTTGAAAAAAGTTTATTTAATGCAATCAATAAAAAAAGGAGATGAGGTATGATTGCCAATGAGACAACTCTCTGCAAGAGATCAAATGACACAGAAATTAACAACTATAGGTCACCGTATTGCAAGTATTGTTTTTTTCTACATACATGACATATGATCAAATATGATTTTGTGAATGTTATGGTCATTTTTGTCGAGCCTGCGACTTTTGTCGCAGAAAGCTCGACATAGGGATAGTGATCCGGCGGCGGCTGGGTTAGCTAACTTCTTAAAAGCTTTATATTTTAGAAGGTGGAAGGTCTGGATGCTTCATACTTTGTATATGGATGCCTCATGTTACGAAGTTTCCGTCAGTCACATGTCCAATGTCCTTGACCTCATTTTCATGGTTCAGTGACTACTTGAAAAAAAAGTTAAGATTTTTTGTAATGTTAGATTCTCTCTTATTATAAGTAATAGAATAACTCTATTTGGTATGTGCGTACCTTGCAAGGTCCTCATGCCCGTCAGACAGTTTTCACTTGACCTCGACCTCATTTCATGGATCAGTGAACAAGGTTAAGTTTTGGTGGTCAAGTCCATATCTCAGATACTATAAGCAATAGGTCTAGTATATTCGGTGTATGGAAGGACTGTAAGGTGTACATGTCCAACTGGCAGGTGTCATCTGACCTTGACCTCATTTTCATGGTTCAGTGGTTATAGTTAAGTTTTTGTGTTTTGGTCTGTTTTTCCTATACTGTATGCCATAGGTCTACTATATTTGGTGTATGGAATGATTGTAAGATGTACATGTCTAGCGGGCAGGTGTCATCTAACCTTGACCTCATTTTCATGGTTCAGTGGTCAAAGTTAAGTTTTTGAGTTTTGGTCTTTTTTTCTTATACTATATGCAATAGTTCAACTATATTTGGTATGTGCGTACCTTGCAAGGTCCTCATGCCCGTCAGACAGTTTTCACTTGACCTCGACCTCATTTCATGGATCAGTGAACAAAGTTAAGTTTTGGTGGTCAAGTCCATATCTCAGATACTATAAGCAATAGGTCTAGTATATTCGGTGTATTGAAGGACTGTAAGGTGTACATGTCTAACTGGCAGGTGTCATCTGACCTTGACCTCATTTTCATGGTTCAGTGGTTATAGTTAAGTTTTTGTGTTTTGGTCTGTTTTTCCTATACTGTATGCCATAGGTCTACTATATTTGGTGTATGGAATGATTGTAAGATGTACATGTCTAGCGGGCAGGTGTCATCTAACCTTGACCTCATTTTCATGGTTCAGTGGTCAAAGTTAAGTTTTTGAGTTTTGGTCTTATTTTCTAATACTATATGCAATAGTTCAACTATATTTGGTATGTGCGTACCTTGCAAGGTCCTCATGCCCGTCAGACAGTTTTCACTTGACCTCGACCTCATTTCATGGATCAGTGAACAAGGTTAAGTTTTGGTGGTCAAGTCCATATCTCAGATACTATAAGCAATAGGTCTAGTATATTCGGTGTATGGAAGGACTGTAAGGTGTACATGTCCGACTGGCAGGTGTCATCTGACCTTGACCTCATTTTCATGGTTCAGTGGTTATAGTTAAGTTTTTGTGTTTTGGTCTGTTTTTCTTATACTGTATGCCATAGGCCTACTATAGTTGGTGTATGGAATGATTGTAAGGTGTACATGTCTAGCGGGCAGGTGTCATCTGACCTTGACCTCATTTTCATGGTTCAGTGGTCAAAGTTAAGTTTTTGAGTTTTGGTCTTTTTTTCTAATACTATATGCAATAGTTCAACTATATTTGGTGTATGGAAATATTTTATGATCTATTTGTCAGTCACACAGTTTTTTTTTTACCTTGACCTCATATTCAAGGTTCATTGCTCAGTGTTAAGTTTTTGTGTTTTGGTCTGTTTTTCTTAAACTAAAAGCAATAGGTCAACTATATTTGTTGTATGGAAGAATTGTTAGCTGTACATGCCTGCCTAGCATGGTTCATCTGACCTTGACCTCATTTTCATGGTTCATTGGTCAATGTTTAGTTAACTTGGTTAATAATAAGTTTATGTGACAGTTGTAATAAAGCTTTATATTTAGGACTATCAACATAATATCAATGATAAGTAAAGAAGGCGAGACATTTCAGTGTGTGCACTCTTGTTATTTTAAAAATATTTTTGCTAAAAAAATTACCAGTATGGTATTTGTTATAAAGCAACAGAATAAGGTAGGAAAACGAGGTACTGATTTGTCTTGGTCCTGAAATGTCTCCTGCGTTACCAAACTGTCTATTAATTATGTTTATTGAATATGTCTCCTACGGTGCCAAACTGTCTATTAAACTTGGAGCCGAATCGCTTCCGAGCTGGTGATGAACTGTCTTGTAAAGTTACCTTATCTACAAAGCGCAGCATATTGGATCAGTAAGACTGGTTTCCGAGAACCTGTTAAAAAGTACCTGACAAAGAACCAGTTTTAAATTATCGATTGCAAGTAAACATGTCAAATTAATACTTGTTTTTATGTTCTTTTCTTGTTTTTTGTTTATAATTACTTTGTTCATCAAAGTTGGATTACATTTATTTTCTGCAGAATAATTTTACTTGTCCCGTCGGACAAGCTTGATATAGCTTTTACTTGTCCGACCTTTGTTTCCTCTGGTACAGGACAATCGGACAAGCGTTATTGTCGAGCCCTGGTTTTGAGTAAAAAAAAGGCAGGAAGAGACACTTTGCAAAAAAAAAGGCAGGATGACAATTTATGCAAAATAAAGTCAGGATAAACTAAAAAAAAAATCCAGGACCGAATAAAGTGAAAAATAAAAAGGCAGGACAGAGATTACAACTGAACTAAAAAAAAATTCAGGACAAAATTTTTCACCCTAGCCCCCCTCCCCCTTATGACAATGAATGAATTATAACGAAAGTAAATTTCTGGTAAAAATATTGAATAGAAGCATAGCATGTTTTCAGCTTCTTTTTGATCATGTTGATAGCTGAAGGATAATATTGATGATAACAAGACTCGGCTAGTGTTATCAGGAAGCGTTCCGCGTACACACAAGTTCATGTGTCCAGGGCGAGTATAAGTGTGTAAACTAGAACATTTTTAGTAGGATAAACATGGATTTCGTCTCCATATGACTGATCAGAGGCCAAATCAATCATATAGTTGAAAAGCATTGGAAACCAAAAGTTCTAATAAAAGACAACTAATGACCACATAATTTTATGTAAATAAAATGAAACAAAAACATTTAAGTATTATTTTAGTTTTTAAAGAGTATTTTTTTTCCATTTCTGTTGATGAATGACACACATATTCGTTTTGACTATATGTAGCTTGCCACTTTCTTTGTTTTTTATCTAATTGTTCTTATGCCAAAAAGACATTTATTTTATTACCCTTCCCTAGATTTTCCATCAAAGATGATGGAATTTTGTGATGGAAAAAATGCCATCACATTCCATCATGTTGATGGATTATTGGAACAACTTTCCATCAATGCTGGAAAATGGTTGATGGAAAAGGTTTGATGGAATTTGTGTTCATGATGATGGAAAATTGATGGCATAATTTCCATCTGATGGGTAACTGATTTTGCCATCTGATGGATAATTGATGGTATTTTTGCCATCTGATGGAAAACTGATGGTAATTTTGCTATCAGATGGAAAACCAATGGAATATTTCCATTACATGTAAAATGCATGGAAACTTGATGGAGAATTGACCATCAGATGGAATTGGATGGATGAGTAAGGAGAATGTCTTTAGAAAATCTTTCCATTTATGGCATTTTCTGTGATTTAATAAAATAATATTTGTTCTCTGTCATCTATAATAGGTAGTCCTGTTATATGTGTGTATCTTTTCGTTCAGTGTCCCATTGAACTCTCTGTCCTTAAAGTTGAAATTGTTGATGGCAAATTCTGCAAAAATAAAAGTAAAAGAATCTAGCATATAAAAGAATAAGTTAACATTGTACAGATATAAAGTTAGTTAGTTACATTTGTTGTCAATTCTGAAATTATCAAATGAAAATAACACTTTTTGAAAAGATTTGTATTAATGTGTCACTTGCAGGGTCAATTTCTAAGAGTGTCAAATCCTTCTAGAAATTTAATATTCAGAGGTGGATTTAGGAAAGGGGGCTCCCCTTTCTGAGCTTTAGAGCTACATAACTTATTGCATAGAAGTTTTATAAGTCTTACTCCTAATGTTGACTTAATTGCCACCACCACCACCCTGGTTCAGCAGCTGATATATAACTGTACAATACATTAAACCTCATGTCAGTACTAAATTATCATCATTATAATAAGTGACTGTCCCTAGAAATAAAGAGGTTGTCCTTTCTTTTTTGTTTAATATTTGTTTTTCATAATCATTGTACTATAACATAAGGGTCTTGCCCATGTTTTATATCATACTTTTGGTGGGTATGGTATATACTATACATGTATATATAAAGATATATTATTTTACCATTTGTGGATATATAAATGTCATATTGTCAGTCACACCACAGATCTCTAATTTTATAGCAAAATTACTTTTTCAGAAGTACTATTTTATAAAACAAATAATGTTTTAAAATGATACAAAATATGACTCATGTCCTACACAATTTTATGATATGTATATGCATATTTTTGTGTCATTTGGTCTCTTGTGGAGAGTTGTCTCATTGGCAAGCATACCACATCTTCTTATTAATACTTTTTATAAATCTATGACCTTCTTTTTTTGTTGACTCTTAAAAGTTAATAAAACACTTTAAATGTCACTACTTTGAACTAAAAGAGCATGCACATATATTCAAAATTGTGGAAATTCTATTACATTGTACTTATCAAAAGATATAATCCAAAATATGTTCACACCCGAGACGTCCCAAAAATATATATAGGCGGTGCGGTAACACTACCCAGTTTTGTACATACACATGGCGACACGAAACACAATCGGAAATCCATTTTACGATATCAAATGTTTCAAAACGGAGTAGAAAATATCGTGCACCACGTGGGCGCTTACATTTGTCACTCTATGCGCCATTTCTGGTCGAAAAGGGCAATTGGCGCAAGGCGGACGTCCTTCCCTATCACTGTGTTTAATAGCTTATTTAAATGGCTGTCAAGTTCCCATTAAAAAAAATTGACTTGTATTTATTTTAATGTCAGATCCTTAAACTCCCATCAAAATTAGATACTAGTACTTACTACTAGCAAATTTGTTGGCCATTTTTAATGGCTGCTTAGATTGTTAAATTTATTACCAATCAAAATGGTTCCCACCCCCACCCCCTCCTCCTCATGTTTACTAATACCCTTAAGCATTTCATTGTCTTAATTCAATAATTGTTTTGGGCAATTACCCCCAAACTCAATTCCAGCTTTCCCTTTGTGAAATACATTGTTCACCATGGCTTAACGATGCTTGCTGTTCAGTTTCAAATATTATAAGGCCTAAAATAAAATATTGTCTGTTTCGCCAATCCCTACCGACCCTGCAAAAACAGGTCCGACTCATAAAATTTTATTGTCAAAACTAAGTCAAATATTATTTTATTCAGTTCCAATTTTCAGGCTTGCCAGATCGACCGATATTGTTCCAGCTTTTTGGAAAAAATAAAATTATTTCCCTACCTACCTACCCACACCTGGCTTGGCAGTGTCGGGATTGGGGAAACAAACAATATATTAATTTAGGCTTAATAAAAATCAGATATAAAGGATACATGTTAAGTTCTTCTCCTTTCTGTAATTAAATTTGCTGTCTCTGTACTTCCAACAAGTATTGCTGAGTAAAGGTAACTGGAATCTGCATGCAATCTGTTTACTATCAAAGTTGGCAGTTCCATTTTAAAATCATTAAATCCCCTAAAAGTAATAAAAAAAATCCACAAAGAATCAATTTGTTCAAGACGTTTTGAAGCAATAAATTCAATAGAAATATTATTGCTTGTTTATACAGTACATTGGAAGCCATTTGGAATCAAATTAATTACCCTCCCCCTTTTTTTATCCCCTGAACTTGGCTCAGTCATTAAACCCACGCCATATGGTCATATCCTTAACCTGGTCGTTCTAGTCAATGTTTTAAGATGTATCTTAATCCAACTCGGAACTATTTTTTTTAAAGTAGGTCTATGGCTAGCCGTTTTACTATTTTAATATTCAAATTTCAAGATATCTCATATATATAATTAATAAGATTTCTTATGTATTGTATAAGATATCTCATTTAATATATAAGATATCTTATATAATTTAATGTTTATTAGATATCTTATATATTATAAAAGATATCTTATATATTATATAAGATATCTTATATATTATATAAGATATCTTAGATATTATATAAGATATCTCTATTAGTTTATAAGATATTTCATATAATTTATAAGATATCTAATAAAGAAAATTATATAAGATATCTTATAAACTATACGAACAGGTGATAGGACTTGTTAAACTGTCTTACAGGATCCTGTGTTCACAATTACTGCATAAAAATCTAAAAAGTTAGCCATACCTACCCCAAATAACCCAAAGGGTGATTGAAAGTGCTCTAGTAAGAACAATATTTTATTTAGAAATAAATAAATACGTACATCAATACAATTATTATACATGGATTGGAAAACAAGTGATAAGTCACTTATACAAATCCCTCTCCTTAATGTGCTCTAGAAAGGTAATTACTGTGGATTCATTAAAATTTGTTGGAAAACATGCACCAATTTTCATGGTTTTCGTGGATACAGTTGAACCACGAATTTGAATATTCAATGAATTACAAATTTTCTATCAGCATGATCAGGTTGTCTGCAGAAACCACGAAATCACATATCCACGAAAAGGCAAGTTTTCCGAAATCCACGAAAATTGGTACCCATGAAAATAAATGAATTCACAGTTGTTACTGTCCCGCTAATGACACCATTTTATATAAGTTGAGAAAAAATACAAATCTGGCAGAACGGTTGAAACAAACTAGACACAAATTAAACGAACATTTGCTCATCAGTGTATAAACCAAATAAAACAGCCATCACATATATATTAAATGAAAGAAACATATTTAAGGTGGATGAACATCTTGGTTTGATATACTTTCATTTTAACAGACCATAAAGGGGCATAAAACCAGCATTTTTCTAGTTTGCAGACAATAGATTAACTCATGATTATGATGTCATTTTCTATTCTAATACTTTTATGATGTATTTTAAAGGGTCTTTATGGTTGCAAAGTCCTAGCTGTCAATTTATTTTTAGAAGTTACTTTTAAATGCTGATGAAGGAATTTTATTTTTAGATATTACTATTAAAAGTTGCTGAAGAAGGTTTTTTTAATTTTAGCCATGACTATGATGTCATTTTCTATTTTAATACTTTTATGATGTACATGTATCTAAATGGGCTTTTATGGTAAAAAAAAGCATTTTTCTAGTCAGTAACTTGTGATTAAGGGTATGGATCTCTCTAAAATTGTACTACAAGGTTCAATACTACAAAGGAAGGACTGCAATTGAGTTTGGTGGTTAATGCTAAAAGGGGGATTCAAAAAGTTTGTGGGGAAGGGGGGGGTTTCCAATTTTTTCAAAGTTTTCAAAATTTCAAAATTTTTTAAAAGTTTCAAGAAGAAATCTTTAATTGCACAGTATTGCACATTAGATTTGTAAGATCTTTGACCACATATATTTTGTGTCAGAAACCTATATTATGTCAAAATATTGATCACAATCCAAATTCAGATAGTATCAAGCTTGAATATTGTGTCCAAATTTGCTCCAACTGTTCAGGGTTTGAACACTGCGGTCGTATTAGGCTGTACTCAGCGACAGCGAAGCATTTTATTATATGTTTTTATTAGGATTCTTACAGGCCCTAGATTCATCGTTGGGTTTGGTAATATTATTGTTGTACCTAATAACTTTACATATGAGTACCATGAGTAAATATATTCCTTGAACAGGAAATGACTTTGAAAGAGAATAATACTCTTTTAAGTAAATCTGATGAGTTTGATTATATATCTTTATTTATTTCACAAGTAAATATTTTACATTAAATTGTTTAATCAATGTTTATTTCATTAATTATAGTTTATAACTAGTATTTCAGTATTATCACTTCTTGAATATATCAATTATAAAATTTAAGATATTTATCAAAAATATCTAATAAGTACAGTTATAACTTAAAATATAGTCTGCCAAAAATATTGAAAGAGCTTAAGTTGCACATAATATGACTCATGAGGATTGCACTAAAATAACCTGTACTACCACTTTGTTTTAAATTTGTTTTTCAAGGCTTGGCAGCTGCAATTAGGTCACAAACAGAATGTGGTTATTTGGTAAACTTGTAAATTTAATACACACATTCTTCACCACTGTGAAATAGAGGTACTATATGGGATTATTTGGCTAAGTTTAAAATATTTTATGAAATCTATTATAGAATTTATTTACATGGTACCTATTTTGAAATAACGTATTAAATAATTAATCCTTCATATTGGCATAAATTATGTCATATAAACAAATTAAAAATAATTATTGTGACAAAAACATGTACTTCGTTTAACATAGGGCCCTATGGGAAATACATACAAATATCTTCTTTTAGAGAACCACTAAATGGAATGAAATGAAACATGGCATGAATGTTCCTTATCAGGTGCTGACCAAGTGTTGTAACTTTGTTGGCCATCCACCATCCAAGATGGCCTTCAGCGGGGGACTTAATTTAACATAGGATTCTATGGACAATACATACAAATGTCTTCTTTTACAGAACCATTGGTCTTGTTATATATATATATGTTAAATTCTACAACTTTTTAAGTTCAAATGAAGTGACATTTCATGTCAAAAACTATATCATGGCTTGAACTGAAAAATTCGACATAAATTTCATTGCATAATTTCTTTTTAATTACATATGTGTTTTTAGCTCACTGTTCCTTCGAACTGTGAGCTTTTGCCATCACTTGGCGTCCATCGTCGTCCTTCTGGTGTAAACTATTTCAAACATCTTCTCCTCTGAAACTACTGAACCAATTCCAACCAAACTTAAGCTGAATGATGCTTAGGTTATCTAGAATAAAGTTTGTGTTTTATTTACTGTTTCTTCAAATAACATGGCCGCCATGGCTAAAAATAGAACATAGGGGTAAAATGCAGTTTTTTGCTTATATCTCAAAAACCAAAGCATTTAGAGCTAATCTTTTTTTGGGTTGCTGCCACTAAATTGATAATTTTCAGGTAATTTTGCAGTTTTTATACGCCTGTTTACGGGACGTATTATGCCTTTATGGTATACCATTGTCCGTCCGTCTGTCCGTGACATTTACTCAAAAACGCTCTAACCAATTTGCATAAAACTTTGGTGAATTTGTTTTTATCTATTGACATGAGCTCCCTTTTGTTTTTTTATAAATTTTAGATTTTACGTTTCCAAGTTATGGGGTTTTATTCATTAAAAAAAGGGGGATTTTCCAGTTTTCGGATAATAACTCAAGAATTGTTTCACCAACTTGCAAGAAATTGTGGTGAATTGCTTATATCTATTGACATGAGCTCCCTTTCGATTTTTATATATTTTAGATTTTACGTTTCTGAGTTATAGGGTTTTTATTCATAAAAAAGGGTGATTCTCCAGTTACAGGGTTTTTATTCATAAAAAAAGGGGGATTCTCCAGTTTTCGGACAAAAAATCAAAAATGCTTTCAGCAGTTAGTATGAAACTTTGGTGAATTGTTTATATCTATTGATGTAAGCTCCTTTTAGAATTTTATAAATTTTTCATTTTACATTTCTGAGTTATGGGGTTTTATTCATTAAAAAAGGGGAGATTTTCAAGTTTTCGGACAATAACTCAAAAATGCTGTCAGCAATTCTTATGAAACTTTGGTGAATTGTTTATATTTATTGATGTAAGCTCCCTTTACATTTTCATAAATTTCTAATATGACTGAGAATTAATTGAACTTTATTTGATTATAGTCTGACAACAGATTTACTGTATTGTGCAACAGCACAGTGTATTGCACAACAGCAAGAAATCTTTAATTGAATATAAATTCAATTTATATAACCAATTTCAAGTTCTTTGACTACATTTATTCAGAAACCTATAATATGTCAAATATTTTATACAATCCAAATTCAGACCTGTATCAAGCTTGAATATTGTGTCCATTTTTGCCTCAACTGTTCAGGGTTGGACCTCTGCGGGCGTATCCAGCTGCGCTCAGCGAAGCAGTTTATTGGTTATTAGTCCCCTACTGACAAAGTCAAGGGGACTTTAGGTTTGCACTCTGTCCGTCTGTCCGTCCGTCTATCCATCCGTCAGTCCGTCAAATCAGTTTTCCACACTTTTTTTCTTCGTCCTTAAAGATATTGATTTGATATTTGGTAAATAGTTTTGCCATGACAAGTTATAGATCAAGTTCCAATTTTGTTCCGGTCTGATGATTTAGTCCAGAGTTATGGACCATAACTCTGGACCATATCTAATGTTGAGAGTACTATATTAAACCATAATTTCTAGACAAAGGGACATAACTCATTTTTTAAAAGACATGCTTTGGTAAATTATTTGAACAATTTTTTGGCAGGCTTGTTTGTTATTTTGTATAAACTAATTTTCTGAATGCTATATATATATATAAAAAAATTATGAAGTGAATTAGATAATAATCTATTTTTATTATACGACCGCAAAAATTGAAAATTTTTTGGTCGTATATTGGTATGACGTTGGCGTCGTCGTCGTCGTCGTCGTCGTCGTCGTCCGGCGTCGTCCGAAGACACATTGGTTTTCGCACTCTAACTTTAGTTCAAGTGAATGGATCTCCATGAAATTTTACAATAAGGTTCAATACCACGAAAGGAAGGTTGGGATTGATTTTGGGGGTTATGGTACCAACAGTTAAGGAATTAGGGGCCAAAAAGGGGCCAAAAATAAGCATTTTTGTAACTTCCAGACAATAACTTGTGTGTAAGTGTATGGATCTCTCTGACATTGTACCACAAGGTTCCATATCACAAAGGGAAGGCTGTAATTGATTTTGGGGGTAATTGCCTGAAAATTTTAGGAATTAGGGGCCAAAAAAGGGGCAAAAAACAAGCATTTTTCTAGTTTCATGACAATAACTTGTGTGTAAGTGTTTGGATATTTCTGAAATTGTACTACAAGGTTCCATATCACAAAGGGAAAGCTGGAATTGAGTTTGTGGGTAATTGCCCGAAACGTTTAGGAATAGGGGGCCAAAAAGGGGCCAAAAATAAGCATTTTTCTAGTTTCCAGACAATAACTTGTGTTCAAGTGTATGGATCTCTCTGAAATTGTACTGCAAGGTACCATACCACAAAGGGAAGGCTGGGATTGAGTTTGGGGGTGATGAATCATAAGGGGGTTCAAAAAATTTGGGGGGGGGGGATTTTTTTTTTTTCTTTTTTTTTCTTTTTTTCCTTTTTTTTTCTTTTAAAATTTTCCATTTTAAGTTGGTTATTTCTGATTAATATTTAAAAGCAAATAATAATGATATGGTAGGAGATACACACCAAACAGGATGTGTAAATTATTATATAATAAGTATTGTGCAATAGCAAGAAATTTTCAATTGCACAGTATTGCACAATTGCAAGAAATCTTCAATTGCACAGTATTGCGCAATAGCAAGAAATCTTCAATTGCACAGTATTGCGCAATAGCAAGAAATATCCAATAGCACAATATTGCGCAATAGCAAGAAATTGTCAATTGTACAGTATTGCACAATAGCAAGAAATATTCAATTGCACAGTATTGTGCAAAAGAAGATACTTCGTATAAATTGCTTATTTCTTGATCAATTTCAATGGGGTTTTATTCTTGAATTCTTGGGGTTCTTTAATATGCTGAATCTAACCAAGTATTAAGTTTTTGGATTTTGGGCCCCGTTTTTAAATTGGTCCACATTGAGGTCCAAAGGGTCCAAAATTTAACTTTGTTTGATTTCATCAAAAATTGAATTATTGGGGTTCTTTGATATGCCGAATCTAACCGTGTATTTAGATTCTTAATTTTTGGTTCCGTTTTCAAATTGGTCTACATTAAGGTCAAAAGGGTCCAAAATTAAACTTAGTTTGATTTTAACAAAAATTGAATTTTTAGGGTTCTTTGATATGCTGAATCTAAACATGTATTTAGATTTTTGATTATGGGCCCAGTTTTCAAGTTGGTCCAAATCGGGGTCCTAAATTAAACTTTGTTTGATTTCAACAAAAATTGAATATATGGGGTTCTTTGATATGGTGAATCTAACCATGTATTTAGATTTTTGATTTTTGGGCCCCATTATCAACTTTGTCCACATTGAGGTCAAAAGGGTCCAAAATTAAACTTTGTTTGATTTCATCAAAAATTGAATTCTTGGCGTTCTTTGATATGCTGAATCTAACCATGTATTTAGATTTTTTATTTGTGGACCCGCTATCAAATTGGTTCATATTGAGGTCAAAAGGGTCCAAAATTAAACTTTGTTTGATTTCATCAAAAATTGAATTATTGGGGTTCTTTGATATGCCAAATCTAACCGTGTATTTAGATTTTTAATTTTGGGTCCCGTTTTTAAATTGGTCTACATTAAGGTCCAAAGGGTCCAAAATTAAACTTAGTTTGATTTTAACAAAAATTGAATTCTTGGGGTTCTTTGATATGCTGAATCTAAACATGTGTTTAGATTTTTGATTATGGGCCCAGTTTTCAAGTTGGTCCAAGTTGGGGTCCAAAATTAAACTTTGTTTGATTTCAATAAAAATTGAATATATGGGGTTCTTTGATATGCTGAATCTAAACATGTATTTAGATTTTAGATTTTTGGCCCAGTTTTCAAGTTTTTCCAAATTGGGGTCCAAAATTAAACTTTGTTTGATTTCAACAAAAATTGAATATATGGGGTTCTTTGATATGCTGAATCTTACCATGTATTTAGATTTTTTATTTTGTGGGCCCGCTATCAAATTGGTTCATATTGAGGTCAAAAGGGTCCAAAATTAAACTTTGTTTGATTTCATCAAAAATTGAATTATTGGGGTTCTTTGATATGCCAAATCTAACCGTGTTTTTAGATTTTTAATTTTGGGTTCCGTTTTTTAAATTGGTCTACATTAAGGTCCAAAGGGTCCAAAATTAAACTTAGTTTGATTTTAACAAAAATTGAATTCTTGGGGTACTTTGATATGCTGAATCTAAACATGTGTTTAGATTTTTGATTATGGGACCAGTTTTCAAGTTGGTCCAAGTTGGGGTCCAAAATTAAACTTTTTTTTGTTTGATTTCAACAAAAATTGAATATATGGGGTTCTTTGATATGCTGAATCTAACCATGTATTTTGATTTTGGGCATTGGACCATAATAGGTAAATTAAAAAAATTGAAGTTCTTAGACCACATTCTTTCTGTGTCAGAAACCTATGCTGTGTCAAATATTTAATCACAATCCAAATTCAGAGCTGTATCAAGCTTGAATGTTGTGTCCATACTTGCCCCAACTGTTCAGGGTTCGACCTCTGCGGTCGTATCAAGCTGCGCCCAGCGAAGCATTTTATTAATGTATATATATTACATTACATTGTGTAGATAAAAATTGTTGACATTTTATAGATAAGTTACAAATCTATATTAGTTTGTGACAAATAAAAGAAAAAATATTTGGAACTATTAATTACATTTCATTATAATTTGAAAATAGATATATACTGTATTACATCATATCTAATTTTAGAGAACTATTAATCATATCTAATGTTAAGGTGTTTTCCACACTTTTTTTCATCATGCTTGAAGATATTGATTGATAATTGGTATTTAGTTTTATCATGACAAGTTATACAGATCAGGTTTAAAATTTTGTTTCGGTCTGATAATTTTGTGCAGAGTTATGGTCCTTGGACTTGGAAAAATTCACTCATTTAATCAGTTTTCCACACTGTTTTTAATCATGCTTGAAGATATTGATTTGATATTTTCTTTTTGTTTACACCATGACAAGTTATAGAACAAGTTAGCTTTTTGTTCCAGGATAATGAATTTTTACCCGGTAGGGGACTATGTATTGCCATGCAATACTCTCAGAATGCTTGTTATCTTGAATATTATTAATGATAAAGAAAAACTGTGAACAACAAAAATGTTCAGCAGTTCTACAAATAAGTTCATATGATCAAAATTGTCAATTGACCCCTGAAGGAGTTATTGCCCTTTAAGGACAATTTTACACAATTTGTTTATCATGTTTTTTAACTTTAAAAAATCTTCTTCTCTGAAACTACTAGACCAATTCCAACCAAACTTAAGCTGAATGATTCTAAGGGTACCTGGAATAAAGTTTATGTTTTATTTTCTGTTTCGTAAAAAAAAACAGCCGCCATGGCTAAAAATAGAAAGTAGGGGTAAAATGCAATTTTTGGCTTATATCTCAAAAAACCAAAGCATTTAGAGCTAATCAGATGCGAGGTAAAAATGTTTATTAGGCCAAGCTCTGTCATCCTTGAAATTTTCAGATGAATCTAACAACCCATTGTTGGATTGCTGCCACTTAATTGGTAATTTTAAGGAAATTTTGCAGATTTTGGTTAGGCCAAAAAAAAACCATGTCTGTTTAAGGTTACATAGTTTAAAAAAATAGGGTAGGTAGGTCGGTATTTCCATTTCATTTTCATTTTATTTTTTGAGACATGATTTTGAGTCCGAGTTGATAATGGGCCCAGTTTACCTGTATTTGTAATGATTGGATTATTTCCCTTGGTTATTGGTTGTAAAAAAATGGCGGCAAAGTGTTTATTTCATCACAGGAGTCACGAATTTCCTTAAAACAGCTATCATATTCACGATTGTGAACATTGGGATGTATCAGGCAATTGATTTATATTATTGGCAACACTAATTTCACTTTTGACACAAGTTCAATTTATTTTTCACTTTATGACAGAAATAAAATGACTTAGGGTCAGCGCTCAAAAGTAGGGTTGATCGGGTAACCGTAAACAGACATACCATTCTCAATTTTATATATTCTTTTTGGCCTTGTTATCTTGAACATTATTAATGATAAAGATAACAGTAAACTGCAAAAAGGTTCAGCAAAGTAAGATCTACAAATAAGTTCGATGATCAAAATTGTCAAGTGTCCACTTAAGGAGTTATTGCCCTTTAACATCAATTTTTCACAATTTGTTCATTTAGTTTGCTTACTTTAAAAAATCTTTTCCTTTGAAACTGCTGAATCAATTTCAGCCAAACTTAAGCTGAATGAGTTTCAGAGTATCTAGTATAAATTTTGTATTTTATTTTCTTGTATGTCAAGAAACATAGCCACTATGGCTAAAATGAAACATAGGGGTAAAATGCATTTCTTTGATTTTGAAGAAAATATGACAGATACAAAGAACATTTCAATGGAAGTTTTAAGCCATTCATTTATAATATATATTGAAAGCAAAAATAATCATTGATGAAAGATTTAAGCAAAAAATTACAGGTGAGCGATTCAGGCTCTTGAGAGCCTCTTGTTTATGTCCCTGTCGTAGTGGAGAGGGAATTAAGTTTTACCCTTGTCCGTCTGATCATTCGTCTGTTAATCCATCTGTCTGTCCATACTTCCTAAAGTTGGTTTCTGTTCTCTAACTTCAGTTTGCATTAACCAATTATTATGAAACTTATACAAAATGCCTATTACCACAAAACACAGATCAAGTATGAATTTTGGTGGCGTCACTATTATTATGAAACTTATACAAAATGCCTATTACCACAAAACACAGATCAAGTATGAATTTTGGTGGCGTCACTAATAATAATGACAGACACTATAACTGTTCTAGAGTTATGCTCCTTTACAAATAAAAAAATTGCTGAATTTTTCGTTCCCATTCTCTTTTTTAAGTTTCCTCAACCAAATGTTATGTTATGAAAATGAAAATGTATATTGACAAAAGAATCCTTAATTCATGTAATTTTAATTTTTCCTTGACACTATAGTCCAAAAGCAAGACAGTCTATTATCTATATATACAGATAGATATATGCTGTTTATTTTAATGTGGCATTGGTGACATTCAACAATGTGTTCTACAAGATCAGTTTAAGGGGAACCACTTATCATAAGTCCATGACATTTGGCATTCAATTGTATAAGCATAATGTGGCACATTTCATTTCCACACAGATTATTTGACCCTGTCCGCGTGGTCATAGTCTATTGACTTAAAACTTTTACATAGTTTACATGTTAAAATTTGTGATTAATAGATATAAGAAGATGTGGTATGAGTGCCAATGAGTCAACTCTCCATCCAAGTCAAAATTTATAAAAGTAAACCATTATAGGTCAAAGTACGTCTTCAACACAGAGCCTTGGTTCTCACGTGCACCGAACAGCAAGCTATAAAGGGCCCCAAAAATTAAGTCAGTTTAAGGAGAACCGATAATGATAAGTCAATGGTATATGGTACACAAGTGTATACATGGTATATCACAATGTACATTGGAATATTTAATCGCCATGGAGATTGTTTAGCCCTGCCCTCTCTTTTATGGTTAATTGTCTTGCCTTGATGGAGTTAAAAAGCGAGACATAGGTATGCTGTTTCCGGCAGCGGCATCAACAATGTATTAGTTTGTGGTTAGGTCTAGTTTATGGTGAACCACAAGTGGTACAGGTCAATCATATTTGGTATGCAGTTGTATAAGCATTGGCACATCTCATATCCATGGAGATTATTTGGCCCTGCCCCCTCAGTCATGGTCTATTGACTTTGAAACTTTTGCTTATTTTACATGTATTAGTTTGTGATTAGGTTAGTTTATGGTGATCCACTAGTGGTAGGTCAATCATATTTGGTATGTACAGTTGTATAAGCATTGGCATTTATCTCATTTCCATTGAGATCATTTGGCTCCGCCCCCTTAGTCATGGTCTATGGACTTTAAAAACTTTGCTGAGTTAACATGTATTAGTTTGTGATTAGGTCAGTTCAATGGGAACCATTAGTGGTAGGCCAATGTTAACTGGTATTCAGTTGTATAAGCATTGGCATATCTCATTTCTTTGAAGAATATTTCGCCACGCCCCCTCAGTCATGGTTTATCGACTTAACTTTTGCTTAGTTTACATGCATATATGTATTAGTTTGTGATTAAATCAGTTTAAGATAAACTGCTAATGTTAAGTCAATGATATTTGGTATGCAAATTTATTGGCATTTGCATGTATCGTTTCCATGGAGATTATATAGCCCTACCCCCTCTTCATGGTTGACTTTGAAACTTTTACATAGTTTACAAGTTAATGTTTTTGTTTAGGTTTGTTTTAAGGGAACGACTTATAATTAGTCTTCGGTATTTAGTATGCAGTTGTGTTAGCATTGGCACATCTCATTTACATGGAGATTGTTTAGCCATGTACCTCAGTCATGGTTCATTGACTTTGAATATTAGTATAACTTAGGTAAGATGTTAAAGTATTGCTATTGTGAAAGTACTTTAATTCGTGGGTGTCAATTTTCTAGGTTTGGGCAAAATTTACATGTTCATGGATTTTAAAGTTCGTGGATTTTAGTTTTCTAAAAAAAAAAAAAAATTGAAGAATTGAAGCCATTAGATTTAGAAACAAAGGTTACAAATTGTCTGGATTGAAGGAAACTGCAAAGTATAAAGATATAAATTGTTGCACCTGGGTAAATTGTAGTGATGACTCTAATTAACCCGAGATGGAGTGATCAACAGATTAAAGACCATCAAAGGTGTTAATTAGGCAAACATGTCCCATAAAGAAAACAGTTATATAAACAAATGATATAAACATACCTTGAATTGTAAAATAAGTACTTTTCAAAAGCAAATCCAGCATGAAATTTTTATTATAAAACTTTTTTTTTTTGAGAATGAAAAGATCAAAAGTTGTACAGTTTAAGTTTTTATACGACCGCAAAAATTAAAAATTTTTTGGTCGTATATTGGTATGACGTTGGCGTCGTCGTCGTCCGGCGTCGTCGTCGTCGTCGTCGTCGTCCGGCGTCGTCCGAAGACACATTGGTTTTCGCACTCTAACTTTAGTTTAAGTGAATGGATCTCCATGAAATTTTACCATAAGGTTCAATACCACGAAAGGAAGGTTGGGATTGATTTTGGGGGTTATGGTACCAACAGTTAAGGAATTAGGGGCCAAAAAGGGGCCAAAAATAAGCATTTTTGTAACTTCCAGACAATAACTTGTGTGTAAGTGTATGGATCTCTCTGACATTGTACCACACGGTTCCATATCACAAAGGAAAGGCTGTAATTGATTTTGGGGGTAATTGCCTCAAAATTTTAGGAATTAGGGGCCAAAAAAGGGGCAAAAAACAAGCATTTTTCTAGTTTCATGACAATAACTTGTGTGTAAGTGTTTGGATATTTCTGATATTGTACTACAAGGTTCCATATCACAAAGGGAAAGCTGGAATTGAGTTTGGGGGTAATTGCCCGAAACGTTTAGGAATTGGGGGCCAAAAAGGGGCCAAAAATAAGCATTTTTCTAGTTTCCAGACAATAACTTGTGTTCAAGTGTATGGCTCTCTCTGAAATTGTACTGCAAGGTACCATACCACAAAGGGAAGGCTGGGATTGAGTTTGGGGGTGATGAATCATAAGGGGGTTCAAAAAATTGGGGGGGGGGGATTTTTTTTTTCTTTTTTTTTCTTTTTTTCCTTTTTTTTTTCTTTTAAAATTTTCCATTTTAAGTTGGTTATTTCTGATTAATATTTAAAAGCAAATAATAATGATATGGTAGGAGATACACACCAAACAGGATGTGTAAATTATTATCTAATAAGTATTGTGCAATAGCAAGAAATTTTCAATTGCACAGTATTGCACAATAGCAAGAAATCTTCAATTGCACAGTATTGCGCAATAGCAAGAAATCTTCAATTGCACAGTATTGCGCAATAGCAAGAAATATCCAATAGCACAATATTGCGCAATAGCAAGAAATTGTCAATTGTACAGTATTGCGCAATAGCAAGAAATATTCAATTGCACAGTATTGTGCAAAAGAAGATACTTCCTATAAATTGCTTATTTCTTGATCAATTTCAATGGGGTTTTATTCTTGAATTCTTGGGGTTCTTTAATATGCTGAATCTAACCGTGTATTAAGTTTTTGGATTTTGGGCCCCGTTTTTAAATTGGTCCACATTGAGGTCCAAAGGGTCCAAAATTTAACTTTGTTTGATTTCATCAAAAATTGAATTATTGGGGTTCTTTGATATGCTGAATCTAACCGTGTATTTAGATTCTTAATTTTTGGTTCCGTTTTCAAATTGGTCTACATTAAGGTCCAAAGGGTCCAAAATTAAACTTAGTTTGATTTTAACAAAAATTGAATTTTTAGGGTTCTTTGATATGCTGAATCTAAACATGTATTTAGATTTTTGATTATGGGCCCAGTTTTCAAGTTGGTCCAAATCGGGGTCCAAAATTAAACTTTGTTTGATTTCAACAAAAATTGAATATATGGGGTTCTTTGATATGCTGAATCTAACCATGTATTTAGATTTTTGATTTTTGGGCCCCGTTATCAACTTTGTCCACATTGAGGTCAAAAGGGTCCAAAATTTAACTTTGTTTGATTTCATCAAAAATTGAATTATTGGGGTTCTTTGATATGCCGAATCTAACCGTGTATTTAGATTCTTAATTTTTGGTTCCGTTTTCAAATTGGTCTACATTAAGGTCCAAAGGGTCCAAAATTAAACTTAGTTTGATTTTAACAAAAATTGAATTTTTAGGGTTCTTTGATATGCTGAATCTAAACATGTATTTAGATTTTTGATTATGGGCCCAGTTTTCAAGTTGGTCAAAATCGGGGTCCAAAATTAAACTTTGTTTGATTTCATCAAAAATTGAATTCTTGGGGTTCTTTGATATGCTGAATCTAACCATGTATTTAGATTTTGGATATTGGACCATAATAGGTGAATGTCCAATTTAAAATTTTTAAGTTCTTAGACCACATTCATTCTGTGTCAGAAACCTATGCTGTGTCAAATATTTAATCACAATCCAAATTCAGAGCTGTATCAAGCTTGAATGTTGTGTCCATACTTGCCCCAACTGTTCAGGGTTCGACCTCTGCGGTCGTATCAAGCTGCGCCCTGCGGAGCATTTTATTAAAGATTAAATGGGTATGATCCTTCCTGCAGTTGTAGTTCATAGTCTGTTTGCCCTGTGATTACTAGAATAGTAGTCTCAGATTTGTGGATATGCAATATATTCTCTAGATTATATCTGTAGTCAAACTTACATGGGGATCTTTCCATTTTGACAACAGTTGTTATATTTCGTTGGACACTTAAATCCGTTGATAAAGTCACCCATGAAAACCACGAAAATTGGTTCCCCATGAATAAAAGTACTTTCACAGTATATTAATTTCAACATTTGCATAATCAAAATAAAAAAAAGGCGAGACAATGTATCTCTGTGATAACAGTTCATTGACTTTAAAACAATTTCTCAGTTTTTTTCTGGGTATTTTGTGTCTGTATACTCCACATTCACTAGAGGTATAGGGGGAGGACTGAGATCTCACAAAACTAGTTCAACAGTGTTTAAACAGGACCATAATTAAGTCTCCCAAACAATGTTTGGAGACTAATTGGTTTTGCTCAGTTTTTCCTCTTCCTCTTCAGCTGCTTTTAAGTTTGAACTTGTTCACACCTGTTCTCCAAAAACACTAGTCAGATTAACTTAGGGGTTCCAAATATGTAAGAGCTAGGGTTTTGTTTGTGCTATGGAGTTTTTAAAGGGGTAAATTGAGGGGCAAAAAGGAAGGAGGGTTTACTATAGAACCCTATGGGATTTAATTTTTTAGCTCACCTGGCCCACTTGTCGTCTGTCGTCGTCGTCCGTCGTTTACTTTTACAAAAATCTTCTCCTCTAAAACTGCTTGGCCAAAATTTAACCAAACTTGGCCACAATCATCATTAGGGTATCTAGTTTAAAAAATGTGTCCAATGACCTGGCCAACCAACCAAGATGGCCGCCATGTATAAAAATAGAACATAAGGGTAAAATAGGGGGTTTATATAAGTCAGCTTTACCGAGTGATGCGTTTTTAGATTCATCACTCAACAACTTCCTGTTTACCAAACACTTGTATCATTTTACCCATGATAGCCAAGTTGAAAATTTTTCGTCAAATTTTTCTCAGGAACTACACTACAAGGATTTCTGAAATTTGGTTTCAGGGTTTATATAAGTCATGGTAGTCAGCTTTACTGTGTGATGCGTTTTTAGATTCATCACTAAACAACTTCCTGTTTAGGGCAAAGTCAAAATAAATGGTTCCCTGCATATAAAACAATATTTATCAATCATCATGATCATACTGATCATTTGATTGAATAAAGTAATTTCAAATGATGTGGTTTGATGTGTAGAATATTACTGCAAAATATCTTTGGAAAATCTCAAGTATTTAAAAAATGACATTAAAAAAAGATACCAAAATTGTTAGGAGTGCAACACTTTTTTGTGACATTTTGAAAAAATACTTTTTTTTAAAGACACAACAAATTATTGTATGGAGGTATGTGCCTTAAATTCTAATTTGTTTTACAACTATTATGTCTTAGTGATGAATTTAGCTTAGAATGAAGCTTTTCCATTGAACCATTTTGATACAGATGTGTTTTGAAAAAAAGTAGTGCCCTGTCAGGAGTGCAACACATAAATTAGTACTACTGAGGAATAGAATGGTTTTTTTTTAATAAATGAATCACACCTAAACATAAACAAAAGTCAATCCTGTAAAACAAATTTGTCCTTTCCAAAATGAATACTTCATTTACCTGATTATTGGTATAAATAATGTGTGAGAGTCAAGTAAATAAGGCCTCCCTATGAGTGTCAGGAGTGCAACTTTGAAGTTTAAAGACTCACACCTGATAAATACAAAAGCCAACATATTGTTCTGTTTTATTTTTCAAAAGATACTATACTAGATACAAGATTGCACCCAAAGAGTAGCCTGATAAATAAGGAATTTATCTTTTTGAGCCATTTCTTTGATGTCAGGAGTGCAACAGTTTTAAAATCTACTATCTCTATTTTGTTCTAGATTAATTTAATCCTTAAATTTGACAGCAATACACCAAACTACATAATGACCTATGATTCAGTAAGATCAATATATTACTAAGATAGCTGTATAGTTTGATGAAAATCCTAGTTGATTTGAAAAAGTTATAAAAAAATATTAAGTGTACTATCTCTATTTTGTCTGAACTGCAAATCCAAGCTTTTTGGACCTAGATTAATTTAATTCTTAAATTTGACAGCAATACACCAAACTTCTTAACAACCTGGGATTCAGTAAGATTATTATATTACCAAGGTAGCTGTATAGTTAGTTGAAAATCTAAGTTGATTTGAAAAAGTTATAAAAAGAATTAAAGTGTACTATCTGAATATAGTCCGAACTGCAAATTCAAGCTTTTTTTGACCTAGATTAATTTAATCTTTCAATTTGACAGCAATACACCAAACTACATAATGACCTATGATTCAGTAAGATCAATATTTTACTAAGATAGCTGTATAGTTTGATGAAAATCCTAGTTGATTTGAAAAAGTTATAAAAAAATATAAAGTGTACTATCTCTATTTTGTCTGAACTGCAAATTCAAGCTTTTTATACGACCGCAAAAAAATTTTTGTGGTCGTATATTGGTATGACGTTGGTGTTGTTGTCGTCGACGTCGTCATTGTCGGCGTCCGAAGACACATTGGTTTTCACACTCTAACTTTAGTTTAAGTGAATGGAACTCTATGAAATTTTACCACAAGGTTCAATACCACAAAAGGAATGTTGGGATTGATTTTGGGGGTTATGGTACCAACAGTTAAGGAATTAGGGGCCAGAAATAAGCATTTTTGTAACTTCCAGACATAACTTGTGTGTTAGTGTATGGATCTCTCTGACATTGTACCACAAGGTTCCATATCACAAAAGGAATGCTGGGATTGATTTTGGGGGTAATTCCCTAAAAATTTTAGGAATTAGGGGCAAAAAACAAGCATTTTTCTAGTTTCATGACAATAACTTGTGTGTAAGTGTATGGATCTTTCTGAAATTGTACTACAAGGTTCCATATCACAAAGGAAAGGCTGGGATTGATTTTGGGGGTAATTGCCTCAAAATTTTAGGAATTAGGGGCCAAAAAAGGACATAAAAACAAGCATTTTTCTAGTTTCAGGACAATAACTTGTGTGTAAGTGTATGGATCTTTCTGAAATTGTACTACAAGGTTCCATATCACAAAGAGAAAGCTGGAATTGACTTTGGGGGTAATTGCCCTTAATGTTTAGGAAAAAGGGGCCAAAAGGGGGCCAAAAATATGCATTTTTTTAGTTTCCAGACAATAACTTGTGTTCAAGTGTATGGATCTCTCTGAAATTGTACTGCAAGGTACCATACCATAAAGGGAATGCTGGGATTGATTTTGGGGGTAATTGCCTCAAAATTTTAGGAATTAGGGGCCAAAAAGGGACAAAAAAACAAGCATTTTTCTAGTTTCAGGACAATACCTTGTGTGTAAGTTTATGGATCTTTATGAAATTGTACAACAAGTTTCCATATCACAAAGGGAAAGCTGGGTTTGAGTTTGGGGGTAATTGCCCTAAATGTTTAGGAATTTGGGGCCAAAAAGGGGCCAAAAAACAAGCATTTTTCTAGTTTCCGGACAATAACTTGTGTGCAAGTGTACGGATCTCTCTGAAATTGTACTGCAAGGCACCATACATTATAACACAAAGGGAAGGCTGGGATTGAGTTTGGGGGTGATGAATCATAAGGGGGTTCAAAAAATTTGTGGGGGGATTTTTTTTTTCCTTTTTTTTCTTTAAAATTTTCCATTTTAAATTGGTTATTTCTGATTTATATATAAAAGAAATAATAATGATATGGTTTGAATAGGTATATTAAAAGAATTTTAAGTTCTTAGACCACATTCATTCTGTGTCAGAAACCTGTGCTGTGTCAAATATTTAATCACAATCCAAATTCAGTGCTGTATCAAGCTTGAATGTTGTGTCCATACTTGCCCCAACAGTTCAGGGTTCGACCTCTGAGGTCGTATCAAGCTGTGCCCATTTTATTTTGACCTAGATTAATTTAATCCTTCAATTTGACAGCAATATACCAAACTACATAATGACCTATGATTCAGTAAGATCAATATATTACTAAGATAGCTGTATAGTTTGATGAAAATCCTATTTGATTTGAAAAAGTTATAAAAAAAAATAAAGTGTACTATCTCTATTTTGTCTGAACTGCAAATCCTAGCTTTTTGGACCTAGATTAATTTAATTCTTAAATTTGACAGCAATACACCAAACTTCTTAACAACCTGGGATTCAGTAAGATTAATATATTACCAAGGTAGCTGTATAGTTAAATGAAAATCTAAGTTGATTTGAAAAAGTTATATAAAAAAGAATTAAAGTGTACTATCTGAATATAGTCCAAACTGCAAATTCAAGCTTTTTTGACCTAGATTAATTTAATTCTTAAATTTGACAGCAATACACCAAACTACATAATGACGTATGATTCAGTAAGATCAATATATTACTAATATAGCTGCATAGTTTGATGAAAATCCAAGTTGATTTGAAAAAGTTTAAAAAAAAATTAAAGTGTACTATCTGAAATTTGTCCAAAATTGCAAATCCTAGCTTTTTTTTACCTAGATTTAATTTGACAGCAATACACCAAACTACATAATGACCTTTGATTCAGTAAGATCAATATATTACCAAGGTAGCTGTATAGTTTGATGAAAATCTAAGTTGATTTGAAAAAGTTATAAAAAGAATTAAAGTGTACTATCTGAATATAGTCCGAACTGCAAATTCAAGCTTTTTGGACCTAGATTAATTTAATCCTTAAATTTGACAGCAATACACCAAACTACATAATGACCTATGATTCAGTTAGATCAATATATTACTAAGATAGCTGTATAGTTTGATGAAAATCCTAGTTCATTTGAAAAAGTTATAAAAAAAATTAAAGTGTACTATCTCTATTTTGTCTGAACTGCAAATCCTAGCTTTTTGGACCTAGATTAATTTAATTCTTAAATTTGACAGCAATACACCAAACTTCTTAATAACCTATGATTCAGTAAGATTAATATACAGTCGAACCTCGTTGTGTCGAAGTCGAAAGGGACCGACCAAAGTATTCGACTCATCCGAGGTTCGACTAATCCGAGGTCGAGTGTGTCATCAAAAATTTGGAATGCAAGAAATACGGTATGAGATTTGCGGAAACTAGATACTTTGAACAGCGTGCCTTTTTTCGATATGACACACTTTATAATTGTGTATGCAATCGCCATTGTTGGTCCTTCATAATATTCAAGCACACAAGAACAGATACAAATCTTGCACAAATAAAATCAATAGTCTACACAAATATTTATGAAGGTCAGTCACTATAAATTATGAAATCATTCGCGGAACGAAATATATGTTCTGGACGGTCTCTGATGAGGTTGTCTGTTGTACATTAAATTATCATGAATTTATCATAATTGTCTTAATCCTTTATTTATTGTAATTAATGAGTTTTAATTCTAACGATTGATTTAATCTTGGCTAGTGTCATTTAAATTCGTTTCGTTTTTATCTCATGTGAAATATGTTCAGCACACTTAAGTTCCGCTTGTACAATCAACAAAGGTGTTAATTACCGGCAACCATAAACATGTCAATTTAACTGTTATACAAATAAGTATGTTTACTGAGCTTTAATCTCTTTTGAAAATGATTAGGTTGCATAAGAAATACCTCCTATTTGAGTTTTTATCATTAGGTCTGCATCTTTCGAAAATTCTTACTTTCGAATTTCGAGACATCGGCGTCAATTTACATTAATTTTATATCGACCGGACTATAAAATTTACTCGACATAACCAAGTATTTGAATCAACCGAGTTCGGCTCATCAGAGGTAATTATGCATTGATCAAACAGGAATTTTACCGGGACCGAGAAATTACTTCGACTCATCCAAGTTTTCGACACAACCGAGTTTGACACAACAAGGTTCGACTGTATTACCAAGGTAGCTGTATAGTTAGATGAAAATCTAAGTTGATTTGAAAAAGTTATAAAAAGAATTAAAGTGTACTATCTGAATATAGTCCGAACTGCAAATTCAAGCTTTTTGGACCTAGATTAATTTAATCCTTAAATTTGACAGCAATACACCAAACTACATAATGACCTATGATTCAGTAAGATCAATATACTACTAAGATAGCTGTATAGTTTGATGAAAATCCTAGTTGATTTGAAAAAGTTATAAAAAAAATTACAGTGTACTATCTGAATATAGTCCGAACTGCAAGTTTCATTCTTTTTTTTACCTATATTAATTTAATTCTTAAATTTGACAGCAATACACCAAACTACATAATGACCTATGATTCAGTAAGATCAATATATTACTAAGATAGCTGTATAGTTTGATGAAAATCCTAGTTGATTTGAAAAAGTTATAAAAAAAATTAAAGTGTACTATCTCTAATTTGTCTGAACTGCAGATCCTAGCTTTTTGGACCTAGATTAATTTAATTCTTAACTTTGACAGCAATACACCAAACTTCTTAACAACCTGGGATTCAGTAAGATTAACATATTACCAAGGTAGCTGTATAGTTAGATGAAAATCCAAGTTGATTTGAAAAAGTTATAAAAAGAATTAAAGTGTACTATCTGAATATAGTCCAAACTGCAACTTCAACCTTTTGTGACCTAGATTAATTTAATTCTTAAATTTGACAGCAATACACCAAACTACATAATGACGTATGATTCAGTAAGATCAATATATTACTAATATAGCTGCATAGTTTGATGAAAATCCAAGTTGATTTGAAAAAGTTTAAAAAAAAATTAAAGTGTACTATCTGAAATTTGTCCAAAATTGCAAATCCTAGCTTTTTTTTTACCTAGATTTAATTTGACAGCTATACACCAAACTTCTTAACAACCTGGGATTCAGTAGGATTAATATTTTACCAAGGTAGCTGTATAGTTAGATGAAAATCTAAGTTGATTTGAAAAAGTTATAAAAAGAATTTAAGTGTACTATCTGAATATAGTCCAAACTGCAAATTCAAGCTTTTTTGACCTAGATTAATTTAATCCCTAAATTTGACAGCAATACACCAAACTACATAATGACGTATGATTAAGTAAGATCAATATATTACTAAGATAGCTGTATAGTTTGATGGAAATCCTAGTTGATTTGAAAAAGTTATAAAAAGAATTAAAGTGTACTATCTGAATATAGTCAAAACTGCAAATTCAAGCTTTTTATACGACCGCAAAAAAATTTTTGTGGTCGTATATTGGTATGACGTTGGTGTTGTTGTCGTCGTCCGAAGACACATTGGTTTTCACACTCTAACTTTAGTTTAAGTGAATGGATCTCTATGAAATTTTACCACAAGGTTCAATACCACAAAAGGAATGTTGAGATTGATTTTGGGGGTTATGGTACCAACAGTTAAGGAATTAGGGGCCAAAAAGAGGCCAAAAATAAGCATTTTTGTAACTTCCAGACATAACTTGTGTGTTAGTGTATGGATCTCTCTGACATTGTACCACAAGGTTCCATATCACAAAAGGAATGCTGGGATTGATTTTGGGGGTAATTGCCTCAAAATTTTAGGAATTAGGGGCAAAAAACAAGCATTTTTCTAGTTTCATGACAATAACTTGTGTGTAAGTGTATGGATCTTTCTGAAATTGTACTACAAGGTTCCATATCACAAAGGGAAAGCTGGAATTGAGTTTGGCGGTAATTGCCAAAAACGTTTAGGAATAAGGGGCCAAAAGGGGGCCAAAAATAAGCATTTTTGTAACTTCCAGACATTACTTGTGTGTTAGTGTATGGATCTCTCTGACATTGTACCACAAGGTTCCATATCACAAAAGGAATGCTGGGATTGATTTTGGGGGTAATTGCCTCAAAATTTAAGGAATTAGGGGCCAAAAAAGGGCAAAAAAACAAGCATTTTTCTAGTTTCAGGACTATAACTTGTGTGTAAGTGTATGGATCTTTCTGAAATTGTACTACAAGGTTCCATATCACAAAGAGAAAGCTGGAATTGACTTTGGGGGTAATTGCCCTAAATGTTTAGGAAAAAGGGGCCAAAAGGGGGCCAAAAATATGCATTTTTTTAGTTTCCAGACAATAACTTGTGTTCAAGTGTATGGATCTCTCTGGAATTGTACTGCAAGGTACCATATTATAAAGGGAATGCTGGGATTGATTTTGGGGGTAATTGCCTCAAAATTTTAGGAATTAGGGGCCAAAAAGGGAAAAAAAAACAAGCATTTTTCTAGTTTCAGGACAATAACTTGTGTGTAAGTTTATGGATCTTTATGAAATTGTACAACAAGTTTCCATATCACAAAGGGAAAGCTGGGTTTGAGTTTGGGGGTAATTGCCCTAAATGTTTAGGAATTTGGGGCCAAAAAGGGGCAAAAAAAAACAAGCATTTTTCTAGTTTCCGGACAATAACTTGTGTGCAAGTGTACGGATCTCTCTCAAATTGTACTGCAAGGCACCATACATTATAACACAAAGGGAAGGCTGGGATTGAGTTTGGGGGTGATGAATCATAAGGGGGTTCAAAAAATTTGTGGAGGGATTTTTTTTTCCTTTTTTTTCTTTAAAATTTTCAATTTTAAATTGGTTATTTCTGATTTATATATAAAAGCAAATAATAATAATATGGTTTGAATAGGTACATTAAGAGAATTTTAAGCTCTTAGACCACATTCATTCTGTGTCAGAAACCTATGCTGTGTCAAATATTTAATCACAATCCAAATTCAGTGCTGTATCAAGCTTGAATGTTGTGTCCATACTTGCCCCAACAGTTCAGGGTTCGACCTCTGGGGTCGTATCAAGCTGTGCCCAGCGGAGCATTTTATTTTGACCTAGATTAATTTAATCCTTCAATTTGACAGCAATATACCAAACTACATAATGACCTATGATTCAGTAAGATCAATATATTACTAAGATAGCTGTATAGTTTGATGAAAATCCAAGTTGATTTGAAAAAGTTTAAAAAAAAATTAAAATGTACTATCTGAAATTTGTCCAAAATTGCAAATCCTAGCTTTTTTTACCTAGATTTAATTTGACAGCAATACACCAAACTACATAATGACCTTTGATTCAGTAAGATCAATATATAACCAAGGTAGCTGTATAGTTTGATGAAAATCCAAGTTGATTTGAAAAAGTTATAAAAAGATTTAAAGTGTACTATCTGAATATAGTCCGAACTGCAAATTCTAGCTTTTTTGACCTAGATTAATTTAATCCTTAAATTTGACAGCAATACACCAAACTACATAATGACCTATGATTCAGTACGATCAATATATTACTAAGATAGCTGTATTGTTTGATGAAAATCCTAGTTGATTTGAAAAAGTTATAAAAAAAATTAAAGTGTACTATATGTATATAGTCTGAACTGCAAGGTCAATCTTTTTTTACCTAGATTAATTTAATTCTTAAACTTGACAGCAATACACCAAACTACATACTGACCTTTGATTCAGTAAGATCATTATATTACAAATATAGCTGCATAGTTTGATGAAAATCCAAGTTGATTTGAAAAAGTTATAAAAAGAATTAAAGTGTACTATCTGAATATAGTCCAAACTGCAAATTCAACCTTTTTTGACCTAGATTAATTTAATTCTTAAATTTGACAGCAATACACCAAACTACATAATGACCTGTGATTCAGTAAGGTCAAAATATTACATGTATTACTAATATAGCTGCATAGTTTGATGAAAATCCAAGTTGATTTGAAAAAGTAATAAAAAAATTAAAGTGTACTATCTGAATTTTGTCCAAAAATGCAAATCCTAGCTTTTTTGACCTAGATTAAATTTGACAGTTTTACACCAAACTACATAATGACCTTTTTTTCTGTAAGATCAATATATAACCAAGGTAGCTGTATAGTTTGATGAAAATCCAAGTTGATTTGAAAAAGTTATAAAAAGATTTAAAGTGTACTATCTGAATATAGTCGGAACTGAAAATTCTACCTTTTTAGACCTAGATTAATTTAATCCTTAAATTTGACAGCAATACACCAAACTACATAATGACCTATGATTCAGTACGATCAATATATTACTAAGATAGCTGTATAGTTTGATGAAAATCCTAGTTGATTTGAAAAAGTTATAAAATAAATTAAAGTGTACTATATGTATATAGTCCGAACTGCAAGTTCAAGCTTTTTTTACCTAGATTAATTTAATTCTTAAACTTGACAGCAATACACCAAACTACATACTGACCTTTGATTCAGTAAGATCAATATATTACAAATATAGCTGCATAGTTTGATGAAAATCCAAGTTGATTTGAAAAAGTTATAAAAAGAATTAAAGTGTACTATCTGAATATAGTCCAAACTGCAAATTCAACCTTTTTTGACCTAGATTAATTTAATTCTTAAATTTGACAGCAATACACCAAACTACATAATGACCTATGATTCAGTAAGGTCAAAATATTACATGTATTACTAATATAGCTGCATAGTTTGATGAAAATTCAAGTTGTTTTGAAAAAGTAATAAAAAAATTAAAGTGTACTATCTGAATTTTGTCCAAAATTGCAAATCCTAGCTTTTTTGACCTAGATTAAATTTGACAGCAATACACCAAACTACATAATGACCTTTGTTTTAGTAAGGTCAATATATAACCAAGGTAGCGGTATAGTTTGATGAAAATCCAAGTTGATTTGAAAAAGCTTTAACAAAAATTAAAATGTACTATCTGAAATTTGTCCAAAATTGCAAATCCTAGCTTTTTATACGACCGCAAAAAAATTTTGCGGTCGTATATTGGTATGACGTTGGCGTCGTCGTCGTCGTCGTCTGGCTTCGTCCGGCGTCGTCCGAAGACACATTGGATTTCGCACTCTAACTTTAGTTTAAGTGAATGGATCTCTATGAAATTTTACCATAAGGTTCAATACCACAAAAGGAAGGTTGGGATTGATTGTGGGGGTTATGGTACCAACAGTTAAGGAATTAGGGGCCAAAAAGGGGCCAAAAATAAGCATTTTTGTAACTTCCAGACATAACTTGTGTGTTAGTGTATGGATCTCTCTGACATTGTACCACAAGGTTGCATATCACACAGGGAATGCTGGGATTAATTTTGGGGGTAATTGCCTCAAAATATTAGGAATTAGGGGCCAAAAAAGGGGCAAAAAACAAGCATTTTTTTAGTTTCATGACAATAACTTGTGTGTAAGTGTATGGATCTTTCTGAAATTGTACTACAAGGTTCCATATCACAAAGGGAAAGCTGGAATTGAGTTTGGGGGTAATTGCCCAAAACGTTTAGGAATAAGGGGCCAAAAAGGGGCCAAAAATAAGCATTTTTCTAGTTTCCAGACAATAACTTGTGTTCAAGTGTATGGATCTCTCTGAAATTGTACCACAAGGTTCCATATCACACAGGGAATGCTGGGATTGATTTTGGGGGTAATTGCCCAAAACGTTTAGGAATAAGGGGCTAAAAAGGGGCCAAAAATAAGCATTTTTCTAGTTTCCAGACAATAACTTGTGTTCAAGTGTATGGATCTCTCTGAAATTGTACTGCAAGGTACCATACCACAAAGGGAAGGCTGGGATTGAGTTTGGGGGTGATGAATCATAAGGGGGTTCAAAAAATTGGGGGGGGGGGGGGGATATTTTTTTTTTCCTTTTTTTTTTCTTTTAAAATTTTCCATTTTAAGTTGGTTATTTCTGTTTTATATCTAAAAGCAAATAATAACGATATGGTAGGAGATACACACCAAACAGGATGTGTAAATTATTATAAAATAAGTATTGTGCAATAGCAAGAAATTTTCAATTGCACAGTATTGCACAATAGCAAGAAATCTTCAATTGCACAGTATTGCGCAATAGCAAGAAATCTTCAATTGCACAGTATTGTGCAATAGCAAGAAATATCCAATAGCACAATATTGCGCAATAGCAAGAAATTGTCAATTGTACAGTATTGCGCAATAGCAAGAAATATTCAATTGCACAGTATTGTACAAAAGAAGATACTTCATATAAATTGCTTATTTCTTGACCAATTTCAATGGGGTTTTATTCTTGAATTCTTGGGGTTCTTTAATATGCTGATTCTAACCGTGTATTAAGTTTTTGGATTTTGGGCCCCGTTTTTAAATTGGTCCACATTGAGGTCCAAAGGGTCCAAAATTAAACTTTGTTTGATTTCATCAAAAATTGAATTATTGGGGTTCTTTGATATGCCGAATCTAACCGTGTATTTAGATTCTTAATTTTTGGTTCTGTTTTCAAATTGGTCTACATTAAGGTCCAAAGGGTCCAAAATTAAACTTAGTTTGATTTTAACAAAAATTGAATTGTTAGGATTCTTTGATATGCTGAATCTAAACATGTATTTAGATTTTGGATATTGGACCATAATAGTTGAATGTCCAATTTAAAATTTTTAAGTTCTTAGACCACATTCATTCTGTGTCAGAAACCTATGCTGTGTCAAATATTTAATCACAATCCAAATTCAGAGCTGTATCAAGCTTGAATGTTGTGTCCATACTTGCCCCAACTGTTCAGGGTTCGACCTCTGCGGTCGTATCAAGCTGTGCCCTGCGGAGCATTTTATTTACATTACATTAAAAAAACACTGGATCAACGATATTACTTATTAATAATAAAGTTCAAAATACAGTTTTCTATAGATAAGAATACAGAATATTTCTATTTCTATGCCACTTGTTTAGCTCCCTAAATAGATTTTGTGAATTTATTTGGTTGTTGTTCCAGAGATATGTAACTTTATAAAATGTTAGATTTAGAAGTCAACTTTTCAATTGTAAGAAGACTTTATAAAATGTTAGATTTAGAAGTCAACTTTTCAATTGTAAGAAGCCTTTTTAAACTGTTAGAATAGAAATCAACTTTTCAATTGTAAGAAGACTTTATAAACTGTTAGATTTAGAAGTCAAATATTCAAATGTCATGCACTTTCTAAAGTTTGAGACAGTCATATGTTGAAATTTTTTCTCTACAATATAAATAAAAATAAATGTTTCAGACAAATTTAATTTAACAATAAGATAGGAAGAACATTTTTTTTGGTCTTAATTCATTACATTTTTTATTTAAAGGGACAAAAACCGGTACAGAACAATCATCCTTTGAATTTTTGAGACGAGAATTGCCAGTACGCTTGGCTAATATAATGATGGAGATGAACCAGTTACCAGAACCTCTATTAAATGTACCATCAGTTACAATGGTCAGCAACTGGTAAGTTTGTCAATTTCCATGTAAGCATGCAGTTAACTTGTAAAGCCATACAATGACCTCTAGTTGCTCACATCTATGTTATTTAGTGTCTTATGAATAATTGTCACATTGCAGGGGTGTGGAAATTGTTGTGAACTCTTGTCTATGGGCAAGAAAAACTGTAAATTTTACATGTCCGTTAAAAAGTTGCTTGCTCTGAATTTCCCAATAATTATTGAAGTATTTTACTGTAAGCTTGTATGATTCTTAAAACTGATTTGTATCACAATATAAATGATGTTTGTGGTATTTGTTTAAGTGTTCAAATGTACGAGTCGGGCAAGTAGGGCATCACATTTCCACACACCTGCATTGGTGATAATACCACATCTTATTTTTATACGACCGCAAAAAAATTTTGTGGTCGTATATTGGTATGACGTTGGCGTCGTCGTCGTCCCAAGACACATTGGTTTTCACACTCTAACTTTAGTTTAAGTGAATGGATCTCTATGAAATTTTACCATAAGGTTCAATACCACAAAAGGAAGGTTGGGATTGATTTTGGGGGTTATGGTACCAACAGTTAAGGAATTAGGGGCCAAAAGGGGCCAAAAATAAGCATTTTTGTAACTTCCAGACATAACTTGTGTGTTAGTGTATGGATCTCTCTGACATTGTACCACAAGGTTCCATATCACAAAGGGAATGCTTGGATTGATTTTGGGGGTAATTGCCTCAAAATTTTAGGAATTAGGGGCTAAAAAAGGGGCAAAAAACAAGCATTTTTTTAGTTTCATGACAATAACTTGTGTGTAAGTGAATTATGAAATTGTACTACAAGGTTCCATATCACAAAGGGAAAGCTGGGTTTGAGTTTGAGGGTAATTGCCCTAAATGTTTAGGAATATTGGGCCAAAAAGGGGCCAAAAAACAAGCATTTTTCTAGTTTCCAGACAATAATTTGTGTTCAAGTGAATGGATCTCTATGAAATTGTACTGCAAGGTACCATACCACAAAGGGCAAGCTGGGATTGAGTTTGGGGGTGATGAATCATAAGGGGGTTCAAAAAATTTGGGGGGGGATTTTTTTTTCCCTTTTTTTTTCTTTAAAATTTTCCATTTTAAATTGGTTATTTCTGATTTATATATAAAAGCAAATAATAATGATATGGTTTGAATAGGTAAATTAAAAAAATTTAAGTTCTTAGACCACATTCATTCTGTGTCAGAAACCTATGCTGTGTCAAATATTTAATCACAATCCAAATTCAGTGCTGTATCAAGCTTGAATGTTGTGTCCATACTTGCCCCAACTGTTCAGGGTTTCGACCTCTGCGGTCGTATCAAGCTGCGCCCAGCAGAGCATTTTATTTTACCTAGATTTAATTTGACAGCAATACACCAAACTACATAATGACCTTTGATTCAGTAAGATCAATATATAACCAAGGTAGCTGTATAGTTTGATGAAAATCCTAGTTGATTTGAAAAAGTTATAAAAAAATTTAAAGTGTACTATCTGAATATAGTCCGAACTGCAAGTTCAATCTTTTTTTACCTAGATTAATTTAATTCTTAAATTTGACAGCAATACACCAAACTACATAATGACCTTTGATTCGGTAAGATCAATATATTACTAAGATAGCTGTATAGTTTGATGAAAATCCTAGTTGATTTGAAAAAGTTATGAAAAAAATTAAAGGGTACTATCTCTATTTTGTCTGAACTGCAAATCCTAGCTTTTTTTGGACCTAGATTAATTTAATTCTTAAATTTGACAGCAATACACCAAACTTCTTAGCAACCTGGGATTCAGTAAGATTAATATATTACCAAGGTAGCTGGATAGTTAGATGAAAATCTAAGTTGATTTGAAAAAGTTATAAAAAGAATTAAAGTGTACTATCTGAATATAGTCCAAACTGCAATTTCAACCTTTTTTGACCTAGATTAATTTAATTCTTAAATTTGACAGCAATACACCAAACTACATAATGACCTGTGATTCAGTAAGATCCATATATTACATTTTTTACTAATATAGCTGCATAGTTTGATGAAAATCCAAGTTGATTTGAAAAAGTAATAAAAAAATTAAAGTGTACTATCTGAATTTTGTCCAAAATTGCAAATCCTAGCTTTTTTTACCTAGATTAAATTTGACAGCAATACACCAAACTTCATAATGACCTTTTTTTCAGTAAGATCAATATATCACCAAGGTAGCTGTATAGTTTGATAAAAATCCAAGTTGATTTGGAAAAGTTATAAAAAGATTTAAAGTGTACTATCTGAATATAGTCCGAACTGCAAATTCTAGCTTTTTGACCTAGATTAATTTAATCCTTAAATTTGACAGCAATACACCAAACTACATAATGACCCATGATTCAGTACGATCAATATATTACTAAGATAGCTGTATAGTTTGATGAAAATCCTAGTTGATTTGAAAAAGTTATAAAATAAATTAAAGTGTACTATCTGTATATAGTCCGAACTGCAAGTTCAATCTTTTTTTACCTAGATTAATTTAATTCTTAAACTTGACAGCAATACACCAAACTACATAATGACATTTGATTCAGTAAGATCAATATATTACTAAGATAGCTGTATAGTTTGATGAAAATCCTAGTTGATTTGAAAAAGTTATAACAAAAATTAAAGTGTACTATCTCTATTTTGTCTGAACTGCAAATCCTAGCTCTTTGGACCTAGATAAATTTAATTCTTAAATTTGACAGCAATACACCAAACTTCTTAACAACCTGGGATTCAGTAAGATTAATATATTACCAAGGTAGCTGTATAGTTAGATGAAAATCTAAGTTGATTTGAAAAAGTTATAAAATGAATTAAAGTGTACTATCTGAATATAGTCCGAACTGCAAATTCAAGCTTTTTTTACCTATAATAATTTAATCCTTAAATTTGACAGCAATACACCAAACTACATAATGACGTATGATTCAGTTAGATCAATATATTACTAAGATAGCTGTATAGTTTGATGAAAATCCTTTTTTTTTTTTTTTTTTTTTTTTTATTCAACAACAACTAATTGCACTTTCTGCTGTTAACAATGTACTTCACTAGTCCAGCATTCCAGTAAAGAGTCCCTGTTTGTAAATACCAGAAATCCAGGGTTGTTTCTGGTAAGCATCATTATATTAAATTAACATTAGTTTTAATTTAACAGTTAAATTATAAAATTATCAGCAATGAAATTAACAAGTATATATCAATGGTACTTATTTGTTTAACAATTTACTATATATATCATCTAGCAATAATTGATTTTTGGGTATTGTTTCCGGAAATTTTTCATATTTTCTCCGTAAACGTACGGGTGAATTGTTTTTCTATCAAACATCTTCCTGGTTTTGAAACAAATATTGTCACACCGGCCATGACTTAAAAAATAAAAAAATAAACAGATGTGATATAGCATATTCACAGGTATGTCTGAATTAAAAATTTTCTATAGTATAAAGAAGATTAAGATTAAATAAATATTTCATTTTTTAATCTTCTTTTTGTAACGGTAAATAGTCTCGTTATCAATCATTTCAATCATCACATGTACATGTACAGTAGCGATGAAAGGTAAAATTTATATTACTTGATCAGTTCCAGATGTGTAATTCGTAAAATTTATCTCTTTTATTAATTTATTCATCTATTTATTTTTGCTAGATCATATACTTCTCAAACAAAGAAATTATTTTAACAATTTGGCAGTTTTATCTAGAATACATTTATATTTTGTATTCTTACATTTTGCCTGCAGTTTGTAACTATACATAAATTCTGCTTTAAATACAGCATACACATTTATAGATTCTGTTTTCTGTTCAGACATGTAATTAGCTTTATATATACAAAACATTATTAATGTAATCAAATAATTGATTTCATAATATTGTTCATCATTAATTTTATAACCGAATACTAAATTCTTCAATGTTAGAATATTATTATCAATATTCAGTTTTTCAAGAAGATTTTTTATTTTACTTAAGAAGTCATCAAGAAAGTGACATTTCAAAAACATATGATCATAATCCTCAGTGGTATTGCAATAATGACAATTTGAAGTATTGCAGATATTCCACTGTTTTAATAAAGTTTTACAAGGTAGAGTAAAGTGTAACAGTTTCCAACGAAACACTTTATACTTATTTTCTTTCAAATAATGATGAACAAATTTTAATATATTACATGTTGAACTATGAATATACTCAATTTTTAACACTGTTTTCCATCGGTTAAAACCAACAGGCATTTCAATCTCATTCTGAATAAATATATTATAAATTTTTTTAGTGTCTAAATTTTCTAATTTTTCTATATAATTGCAATTATTCTTAATGTATAAAACATTATTTGTTTTTACTTTAGTTTTCTTTGAATTTTCTTGTTGTAAAATATTAAGCCATTCTTTTGGAAAGGCTTTCTTCAATTGAGAAAATTCTGACATCCAATTATATTTAATCCTGAGCTTTTGCAAAATATGTTTCTCCAATATGTTACCATTTTCATCTATAATGTCGTTTACATAGATGATATTGCTATTTATCCAGTTTTGAAATAAAAGACTTTTTTTTTTTATCTTAATGAATTGATTTCCCCAAATTACTTGTTGACGAATAGATACAAAGTTTTTAGGCTGCTCTATTTTTTTGTTTTTTACCCATGCTTTTACTACATTCAAATAAAATTCTGGCAACTTATTTAAACCTGGAATTGAGTTAATACCATCAATGTTCATATGAAAGATAAGGAAGTTCTTGCCAAATTTATTAAAATAAAATAATGGTATAACTTTCCAGTTGGCTAAATCTCCATATATTAATCTTTTAATCCATCCAATTTTGATGGATTCTATGTATTTATCTATGTTAATCATTTTTAGACCACCATCTAGCAATTCATAGCTTAATACTTTACGTTTAACTTTTTCTATTTTGCTTTTCCATAAAAATTGATAAATAATTTTTTTAAATTTATCAATATATTCTTTTTCTATGTGTGAAACAGATGCTAAAAAAGTAATATTGGGTAGAATCAGTGATTTGATAACTGTTATTTTTCCCAATAATGTTAGATTTCTTTTCTCCCAGTTTTTAATTATTTTCTCAGATTTTTCTAATTGTTTTTCAGCATTGAGTTTTTGACACACATTTTTATTACAACCAAAAAAAACTCCTAAACATTTCACTGGTTTGTCTGTAAAGTTGATGTTTTCGTATTTTTCTTTACAGTGTTTATGTTTTCCCAACCAAATGCCTTCTGTTTTTAATCTGTTTAATTTAAGCCCTGATAATGTGCCAAAGATTTCAATCATATTTAAAACTTTTGAAATGTCTTTTTGTGTTTTTAGAAAAAGTGTCGTGTCATCTGCAAGTTGGCTGATTTTTAATGAATGTGTTTTCCCATCTATCTTAATTTCAAAGCCTTTAATATTATGGTCTTGCCTTATCTTACAGGCTAATATCTCTACTGCTATAACAAAAATTATCGCACTGCACGGACATCCTTGTCGGATTCCACGTTGAATGTTAATGGGTTCAGATATCCATCCATTATTTATTACTGCGCTTTTAATATCTGTGTATAAAGTCTTAATCCATTTAAGCATAGAATTTTGAAATCCAAATTTTTTTAAAGCTGAAATCATAAAATCCCATTCTAAAGAGTCAAATGCTTTTGAGAAATCTAAAAATAGTAGTGCCCCCTCTATATTAAATCTTTCTGCATAATCAATTATATCCTGGATTTGTCTAATATTATAACCTATATATCTATTTTTAACATAGCCATTTTGATCTTTATGAATAATTTTTGGTAGGATATTTTTAATGCGCTGAGCCAATGAATATGCAATTAATTTTGTATCAATATTTAATAAAGTTATGGGTCTATAATTATTTAAACAAAGCGGATCATTCTTTTTATGTATAAGAGAAATAACTCCTAATTTTTGAGAACTCGTTAACTCCCCTTTTTTATATGAATAATTAAATGTAGATACAGCAAATTCTTTTAATTCATCCCAAAAGGTTCTATAGAACTCAACACTTATTCCATCAATTCCTGGTGATTTGTTCAATTTCATCTTGAATAATGAATTCGTGCATTCTTCAATGGTTAAAGTACCTTCCATTATCTCACTTTCTTGTGTATTTAATTTATGATCAATATTTGTATCATTAATATAATTATCTATGGATTTCAC